AACCAATCTCTAGGAGGCCATTTAAATAATTTATCCTTGATTTGCTCCTGTATTCTTATCCATTGGAGATTTACATACTTGAGATATATATGCACGCAATTTTGTATCCTTGTTTGCTTAACATTGTATCATAAGCACTTTCAACGTCATTAAAAGTCCATCATAAACATAATTTTAATACCCAAAGTTGGTGATAAATATCTCAGTGCAGGAATCTTCTTCTTTATTTCAGATTTCCTTAGGATAAATTGCTTCTTAGAAGTGGAATTACTGTGGGCAATGGGAAGAGTACATTTTAGAACGTTCCTTGACACACTGACAAATTGCTTTCCAGCAGTGTAGCAAAATCACGCCACCAGATAAGAGGGCTGATTTCATTGGACCCTCACCAATAATGAAGAGATGTTTATTGATAAGCAACATTTGTTAATATTACTGGTAAGGGGGGAAAAAAAACCCTATCTTTTAAAAAAGTCTGGAGTTGGTTTAGTCTGAGACAGTACGGCTGCGGCGTTTTGGTCTTTCAGATAAGTTCTTCTGCCAGCGCTGCAGATTTCAGTGTATCCTGGCATGAGAGGCTCCGCCTCCACCTGCTGCCACTGTCCTCTTGGAGCTAAAAGATATCTACTTACAGATAATATTGTGAAATTATAAGAATTTCAGCATAAGAAGATGGTTGTTGCATATAATCTTCCTGGCACCAAATAAATCTGTTTTAGAAACTTGGAAGAGAAACTGACCTAGAACAAGCTCATCTTGAAGGGGAAGTTAAGAACCCTACTTCATTTGCGTGAGTCCTGGGACCACGTCGAACTGGCTAAAAATGTCACTTGCAAGTACCATACAGAAAACAGAAATGTCACTTTGGCGGATTATAAGTTTGGACCACTTTTCATAAGACTGTGTTATGACTCGAATCTTGAGGAATTTGCAATGGAGCTCATGAAAGATGAGCATTTACAAGGGTTCTCAGACTCCACACAATTTACTATTTTGATGGATATGTTATTTACCAAAAGCAAATATATAAGTGCTTTGAAAATATTGACAGAGATGAAAAACCCAGATGGGAAGTTCACCAGTATACCTATGTTCTTGCTTTTGCAACTGGCTACAAAATGAATAGCTCTCAATCTTTCAAAGTCTGTACTACATTAAGAAATGAGGCCCCAATCAAAAGAGTTCTCTCCAGGAGAGCATCCTGTTTCCTGTGGCATTAGAACCAGGTGGCAAAAGCTATGCCCATTTTTTTCTCACATCATGAATCCAGAAAGCATAAAGTTTACTAATTTAGATATGATACTCCATATCCAGTCAAATATGTTAGCAACTGTGATAGAGATAACAAAGGGTGTTGCAGAAGGAAATGTATCAAGATTCGTTGAAAGACCTGAGTTCTCAGAGGAACTGCTGGCCAAAGTGAGGAAAAAAGGGAAAGATGCGCTCGTCTTTGTGGCCAGATATCATGAGATGTATGGAAAACTGCATGTCGTTGTCCAGGTCACCACTTACACTTTGGATCCTCTGCCTTGCGACATCCCTTTAAAAATGCAAGGGACGGGAAATCCCACATGTTGCCGTAAAACAACCGGATGGTCACCAGTTAGACCTTCACCCTCTCTGCTAGTCCCTGCTGGCTGAGTAAATCCTAGTTTCAGTCCACCCGTGGGTATGAAGGACCTGCTTCTAGTGAGTTATTGGCTTCCCTAAGAAACAGGCATCACACTTCACCAGACACTACAGTGACACTCGATTTCCTCCCTAAAATCACTGAATGGTGGCATGCTGCTCTCTGAGAAGTTATGTCGTGTCACTGTGAAGATCTAGATACAAGCACAGAAAGCTTAGCTCCTTCAGAAAGCAGGCTTCCCCTGTGCACACTATTGAGGATCCTTGAAGGAATATGGTCACTGTCTCCAGTCCAGGTTCCAGTACTGGAGTGGAACCCCGTAGGCACCATCAGGAATGAATTTCACTACAAGTGTGGTCAACTCTGATTTGCAAGGGAGTAATTACTTGCAAATTATACCCTTGCTGAATTCAGGAGTTCCAAAACCCTATTCTACCATATCAGAAAATAGCCCAGGATTTCCTCACTGCTCTGCCTTCATGTATTCTGTAACTTGAGCCGTCATTTTCTCATCTGCAAAATAATAGTGCTTATGTGTATTTGCATATATATTTGAAATCTTCATTCAAGGTTTAGTAGGGTAGAATTTTCTCAAAAATAAGAGAAATAAAGGTTCTGGAGCAAAAAAAAAAAATCTGGATTTTAAATTACTACTGAGATTGAATCTTTAAAAATGCAAGTAAAACTATAGGTCACTTAAAACTTCTCTAAGATAAATGTTGTATAAATACACTGGTGCTTGCTCTTCATTAACTCAACTAATAAAAGGGAAATAGTTTAAATCATACGTAAAGTTGCTATATCAGAGTTCTTGGTCGCAACACTGAAATCATTTCTGGCTGACTGAACCAGAAGAGAAATATATTGGAAAGTCATTAAGTAGCATACCAAAGAGACAGGAAGTTTGGCAAGTCAGGCTCCTTCCACAGGAAGGGAAGCTTAGCAGCTGAAATTAGAACAGGTGGGTCATCACACCATTCAAACAGCTCACTGAGGACACCACTGGCATTGCCACAGTGTCACCTCTGGCACTACTGTCTCTGAACACAAAACCCACTTCACAGATAATGGAGACATTTCTAAAATGTTTCTTCTTGAAACACATAATCCAGACTCAAATAACGGTACAGGAGTCTCTGAGGCTGGTGTTGGGTCACAAAATGATACTCTAGCTGCCAGGGAGCGGGAGACGGTGGGTATTGGGCCATTTTGGCTTTTATATAAATTTGGATGCCAGATAGCAAGACCAGGATCAATGACCGCTCTAAACACGTATGTGGAATTTTTTGTTTCATAATGCTTTTTAGGAATCTGGCTAACCTTCTTAATTATCACTGAATTTTAAATTGTCCAGGAGATCATGAGATTATCTGGTCCAATACTGCAAACTCAAATGCCTACCATATTCTCAAATGTCAGTGAGGTGGGGGTGTATGGGAGTGGTGGGGACTGTGGAAAACTGAAGAGTGTCTTCACAGTCTAAAGGGGACACCCGCTATTCAGCTCCAGCTGATGGCTGCTAGAACTCGCCTTGGACCAAATATCTGATGTTACAATTTTACAGAAAATGTGAAAAGTCTGAATTTCTGTGAAATCTCCTAACTTCAACATTTGGAACCAACTTCAAACTAAGAAAAACAACACTGTTGCTTCTTAAAAATCAAGGCTGCAGGCTGCCTCCAACAATCAAACCTCCTCATTTAAAAGAAAAGACTTCAGGAAGATGAAGCTTAAGAAGGTGAAATGCCTGAGACCAAACAACTCAGTTGGTGGCTGAGCCAGGGCTAGAATTTTGGTTTCCAGAGGAAAGACTAACTAAGAAAAGCCAGTGTTTTCCCACCCCACTCTGCAGCCATTTCTCTCACTTGGAGGTAAGCTCCCAACCAAGCTCAAGAAAAGCGACTCTATTTCATCCAGCAGCCGCAACCTTCATAAAACGTTTATCAATTAATAGAACCTGTCAAGCCAATAGAAACAGCCTTCAGTATTGGATCAGAGTTAAAATTTAAGCTTCTACTACTTTCTAGGTGATTAACCTGGGATAAATTATTTTACTTCTCTGTCTCTCGTTCATGGAAAAAACAAAAACAAAAAATGAGTCCCTTTTACATATAGGTTGTAGCAGATGGAATAAGATCTTGTGTACCGACTGCCTAACACAGTGCCAGAACTGTAGTAAGAACACTGCATGTGATAGTACCATAACATCCAAGAGATATTCTAATAATTCGTATTTTCCAAGTACACACAAATTGGGGGTAGGGGGAAGAACTAAGGTGCTTCATGGTGGGCGTAGCCAGTTGTGGATAAATATCAAAAAGGAATTCCTGATATGAGGTATAAGTGGGATTTTCAACCAAAACCCTATCCTTCCCCAGACTCCAGTGACAGTTTAACGGTCAGCTGCATCAAGGCTTGTGTACTGTGCAGTCTTCAAAGGCACCACTCCTGTCTATCTCGGTGAAATTGACAGTGGAGCAAAAGGGACTTTAGGTGGTTCCGGGCTGGGGAGAAGACGTGCAGGGTTTCAGATGCGAAAGTGGCACCCAACCGCTTCACTCTCGCTCTAGGCCATCCGCAGGGGCCCTGCTTCCTTCCACCTGCGGGCTTTTTCTGCAGAATGCGGGAAGCCGCCGCCGCCGCCGCCAGGGAGGAGGGGGCGGAGGCAGAGGCGGAGGCGGCACCCAGGGGCCGGGGCAGGGGAGGCCGGGACCATCGCAGTGACAATTTATTTTCCTGCAGCAGCGGCAGCAGGGACGGCTGCTGAAGGTTCGGGGTCGGCCGGCCTGCGCGTGGGTTTGCGAGGAAGCTGTTCATCCCCTGCGCTGAGGTGTCCGACAGTGAGGAGGAGAGCGACGCACGGAGCCCGCGCGAGTAGAACCAGCAAAGCTCCATCGGTCGGCACAGGAGAAGGGGGAGGAGGCACGGCCGAGGCAAACGAGCGGACGCCTAGTCGCCGGGTGCCGGTATCACCCCGCTGCAACGCCTTCCAGAAAAAGCCACCGCGGCCCGGGTTGCAGCGGCCGGACGGATGCCAAGGCCACACGGCAGGCGCGGGGGCAGCCGTCGCAGTCGCCGTCCCACGCGCGCTGCGGACACCCAGGGTTGCTGGTGAGTAGCGGCGCGCGCGCTTGAGTGAGAGCGCGCACCGGACGGGGAAGTACGCACGGCGGGTGCGTGTGCCTCGTGGCCTGGCGCGCGCCGGCCCTTCCGCTGGCAGCGTCCGGTCCCGGGCTGGCTCCGGGGGAGGAAAAAGGCACTTTGGCGGCTGATCGCTTCCTTCCTGCCAGTCCTGCGATCGGCCGCCTCCATCGGCGCCGCCTGCATGCGCCTCTCCGCGGGGCCCTCGGGGTTAGTTTCACCTTGATAGGGAGGCAGGAAGCCCTGGCTGCTGGTGGCGGGGCGGGACTCTGGCCTGACCTATACGTGGGTGCGCCTGTTTTTCTGGTTCAGCCCTGGGTTGCAGCCCTGGAGATGATGTCGACCTTGGGAGAGACCACTGCACTGTCTCTAGCGGCGCGGTGTGGAGGAGGGAAGGGCGAGGGTTAGAAAAACGGACCTTTACCCTGGCCGAGCAGGTGCCATGCCTTTCCAGATGATGTTACTTTTGTGCCGTTTATGAGCGACTAAGACATTGCGCCGCACCTGAATAACTTAAAGCCTTCACCTAAAGCCCCCAGTGAGATGCACAAAGAAATGGAATGTCTCCAAAACATATTTTTTTCAGAACTTTCTCTAAAACAACTCACGCTGCTGATACCCCCAGAGCCGAAGGTGCCATAATTGCTGAAGTTTAAAAGAAAATTTATACAAGGAATAAGTAATTCAGGAAACGGAACCCAATCTAGAGGTTTAAAAAAAAAAAAAAAATCAAGTGCCTGGGAAGTGGGGTGGGGTGGCCTGCTTCCTGGAAATCTGTGTTCGGTAGTAAGTAAAAAAGACAGCTTTCAAAGTAAGCCCCAGTGAGCACACTGCTTTCCAAACATCCTGCTCATTACTGAGAATAACATGAAGTCCTGGATTTTAAGCTATTTCCGAAGACATAGTAGATATCACTAGGATGCCGGTTTATGGTCTCATGATTTAAGGCCCTGTCAAGGTCATTAACGTAGATTTGTTCCAGCTGATAAATTATACCTGACTGTTTGATTGTCCGTGTCAATATTTTTGAGGGTGGGTTTTGACGGTTGTTTTACACAGAAATTAAGCCACCGTGTTTTGTTTTTATCCCGACCTTGTTTCCATTGGAAATTTTGTGTTTTCAGGATGGATGCTACATTGTATTTCAAAAATATACTCTGCCACTGGATTATAGTGGGCATTGTGTAACTACACTATACATATCTTTATTTTTAATACAAGTTAATGTCGCTGAGCAGTAGACTCTTTGTTTACCGTTTGCACCATGAGAGCTTCTCCATTCAAAGCGTGAAATGTTATTGGAATCTACCTGGAAAATGAACTGGCTGATTGTTTTCTGTTCAGAAACGCATACAGCAAATTGCCACTGAGAATCTACTTTTGCATATATTTTGGCTGTAATTTATGTAGCAACTGGGTCTTGGGAATTTCAAGAAGAAACTTGTTTTCTTATCCCCACCTGTAAAGTAAACACCAAAATTTAAATTATAAGGCAGATAACCTAAGTCCTTTACCCCTATCTCAGCCTTCAAGGCCTGTTTCTTGGTACCCTTTCCCTGTTTCATAGGAGTCTTACGGTTTGTGGGAGGCTTGAAGGGAGTAATGAGGGACCTGTTTCCTAAGGATGTCCTCAGTAGAGAGATTTGCTTCTGGAGGAGAGAGTGTCTTTGGGGTTGGTTCCTAAGAAGGACTGATAAAAATATTATAAAGGATTGTTAATAATAGTTCCCTCTTCTTACTTTCAGCACATAGGACTTAATTAACACCATTTGATCATTTCCTTCCTTTAGGACCCTTCCCAGCTGTAAGAATTTACTGCTACAATCCAAGAAATGAGATTGCATTTTACAAGAAAAGAAGGCTGATAATTCTTGCCCAAAACATGAGAAGTAGAAGGAATGTGAGAGAAAATAATGTAGATTCCATCCAGGAAGTGCTAGGTGCTTTCCTGGTGGGTGCATTTACCAATTAGAGACATTTTAATTAATCTACCGGATTTACGATTCTGTCTACTACTAACATCTTTTTCTTGACCTTATGAAAGATTTATAGATGGCTTCAACTGAAACTACAGGAAATGACTCATGGTTATCCCTGAAGATATTAGAGCCAGCTTTCCATTCCTTAGAGCTGATGCATAGCAGCTCTTTGATAAATATTTGCTGCATAAATGAAAAATTTTAGAATGTCTTCCTAACCAAACTACATCACCTCTTTTGCTGTTGATTTTTTAAATCATAACTTTATATGAGTCACCAAAGATTCCATCAAATTGAATCCCAGTTCATATAATCAACTAAGAAGGCCAACATCCTCGATTGAAGAAGCAATAATAAAATCAAAACAAAACAAAAACAAAACTCGAAAACAAAACAAAAACAAACAAAAAATACTATTGGTACCTGTTGACTTGCTTATTCCAGCTATCTGAACATGTGAACTGTCCAGTTGAACGTGTGAATGTACATTCAGAAATCCTGAGTTGACATCAGAATGTTCAACTCAGGAATAATCTGGATGTAGCTACATCTGGATGTGGCTTTTGTCAGAAATTATTTGCATTTCTAAGCAAATCAGATTAACTTCTAGTACAATCTTGCATCTCTGCATGTCAAGTGGACAGGCCAGTTTAACATTTGGCATATTGCTGAGTCTTCAAAACACATATTGTTTGATTCTCTAACTTTTAAATTAAATCCATATTATTTTTTCTATTGATGTGGTTGGTTTAGAGACATTAAATTAGACTGGTGGTTACTTAGTAACTTGTGTTTGGTGGTTACTTAGTAACTTGTGTTTATTAAAAGAAGCCCGTTGATATAAACACCAGTACTTCTTATGTCTTGATTTGCTCTAGTTAACCTTTCAAGGTACTCTTTTGGAAATGGGTCCATTGTCTTGACTATTAAGGATGTTATGACTCCTTTTTTTGTTTGTTTTAATTCTGACTTTCCATCTCCCATCATTAGAAAGTCTCCCAGTTATTCAGGTTCCAGTTTCAGGATGACAGATTAGAAAGCTATCTGAAATTTACCTGGATATTAACTTTCTAGTGGATAATAATAATAATGCAAATCTTATTCTTGAAATTCTTCCTTTTATGTCCTTCCCTGATCAAGCTTGTTTCATTCTGAACAAAAGTAAAATAAGATTCTCAATTTATTTTTTAAAATTGGGCTATGTCCAAAGATAAATACATAAAAGTAAAATATTATGTAAAATAAAAAACTGCTTATCACTGTTCTGAAGTAGCACAAACACTGCTATTCTCTGCATAATGAAACGTGGCCATTCCTATCAAGTATTTATTTGATAAGTAGGCTCTTGAGCACTTGAACAGGAGTTAAAAGCAGGTTTCCTCCATGTCGTATTAAGGCCCTTGAAAGCTGGGGGAGGAATTTTGATTTGAGGTGGTAGCCAATTGTAGGTTCCTTGAAAGGGAGCAGGTGCGAAAAGCATCTTGTCAGAAGAACTCTTTGGCAGTTGGGTGGAGAGCGGATTAGTATTAGCAAGTGGAGGCGACAATCCAGTGTCTCATGGTGACAGCCTGATCTCAGATCCCATTGCGATGGAGAAAAGAAAACCTCAGGCAGATATCAGGATTCTTTGTTTTATGTAAAAGAGATCGAAAACCTGTGGCACAAGTGTGATCACTAATACCTTCCACACCCACAGGGACATCACCAGTGGATTACAGCATTCTTTCCTGTGGAGCCCTGGTGTAACCTCAGAATCTTGCGAACATTTGACAAATGTTTATTAATAGCTGTTCGTTATTGAAGATGTGTTATATGCCAGGCACTGTACTGCTTTAACACAAGTTTATCTCAATGGTGATGGAGTGGTTGGAAACAGGATTTTTCCCCCCACTTTCTAGTTGTGTATCCTTGGACAAGTTACTGACTTCTGTGAGTCTCAGTTTCCTTGCTTTTCAATTGAAACATTAGTTTCTATCTCAGAAGGTTTTAGGGAGGGTTAAATAAATAGCTGTAAATACAAAGTGTTTAGAACAATGTCTGGCACAAAATTAAGTGCTATATGTGTTCGTTGTTATTCTTGTTATTATTCTTTAAATAACCTTATGCCTAAGTACCATTTTGCAGATTTAAAAAATGGATGTACAGAGGAGCTATGTGAATTGCTCAGCATCATAGGCTGGTAAAGGGTAGAGCTGGCCATCAAACCCAGGCGGTATGACTCCAACACCTCTTGTCCTGACTTGTATGGATCCCTGTCTCCTATACTGCATACCGGGTGCTGGGGATACTGATTGGAGCAAGAAAAGTAGGGGCTTGTCCTCATGGAGCTTCAGTGTTCCAATCCTCTCCAAAGTAGATCTGTCATCTCCAATGTAGAATTAGTAGCCAGATTATAACTGTTTTTCCTTGATGTTTTGGTATTTTGTAGGTAATGTTTTTATTAAGTTCTTTATTAAGAAGTGCTCCAATTTGTGTTTTCATATATGCTTTAAAAATGGATTATTTTCTGGATCTTTACCCTAACACAGTTGGCATATATAATACTCATGTCTCTCCTTATACTCAAGGTTTCTTATGTCTCCCTCATATAATGTGTCAGATTCTGGGGCAAGTTTTAGTATTCTGAAAAGCTTATATGCCATCCACTTACCTCCACACTCCCAGAGTCTCAGATATCTCCCATTGTAAGCTGTGGTGGAGTGAGAATGACATTTCTAACCATCTTTTAATTCAGCGTATTCAGAATATTTTATAAAGTAATGGCAAAGCAAGTTTTAGTTGTTCTTTGACTTGTTGAAGTAATTATGTCTAGTTATAAGAAGCCAGATTTTATTTATAGGTGGGAAGACTCCTGTAGCAGTGAAGACTAAGCAATTCTTAACTCCTTCAGAGCTTTAGGATGGAATCTGCCATCACTGACTCCCGTATATTGACTTTATCGCATTAATTCTTATAAACGTTTGTTCTTATAACTCTCAGAAATCTATAGCTAGTGTTGTTTTTTTCTAAGTAGGTGAAACTTTTTCTTGGTCTTGTTTAAAGTTGAATTTGCCTCCAGCAGAGAATCATTGAGTATAAGGAGAGATATATGTGTTGTGTATGCCAACAGTGTTAGGCAAAACAAAAACAAAATAATCAGTTTTTTAAAGCATATGTGAAAACGCAAATTGGAGCACTTTTTAATAAAGAACTTAATAAAAGCATTGCTTACAAAATACCAAAACGTCAAGGAAAACTAGCAATCCTCTGGGTACTAATTTTACATTGAAGATGATAGATTTACTTTGAGATTTACTTTGGAGATGGTTGGAACCCTGTAGTGCCATGAGGGCAAGCCCCCACTTTTCTTGCTCCAGTTGCTATCCTCGGTACCCAGCATGCAAGTATAAAACACTAATAATTTTGTTGATGGAAATTTTGAAATCTCACTGTTAAAAATATACTCTGCATCCTTTAATTTACCTTTTTGTGTAAATTACACATTATATTATTTGGCAAAAGTTCAATTCTTTTTAAAGAAACATTTTAAATTTCATGAGTCTAAATCTGATTAAAGATGAAAGAATCTGAGATTTGGTGAATTTGGCTCTTTGTTTTTTAAACTGTTGCGATACTTAGGTTTCAGTGGCATCACAGTAACTGAACCAGATTCAGCAAAAGCTCATGCAAGAGATAACTGTTAAGAGGCCCATCAGGAGTTATTCATTTTAATTGTGTGATTTGATGCTTCTCTGGGTTAATTTAGAAACAGGAAGCCAATGATGACTCATTTTTAACCCTTTTTAGCTCCCTGTGAACCCTGCCTGCCTGTTTTGCATTTGCCTGTGTTCAGAGACAGGCTCAGCTGCAGGTTCACTTTGAGAGTGTTACATTTCAAACTTGCCTGGCTAGTGCACTCATCAGCTATGCACGTTTAATTAAAAGTGTAGGAAAAACTATAGCCAGGAATGATGATTATGGCTAAATTTGGCTCATCTAAGGACCCTGTGATTCTATTTTATCCTGTCACTACAGCTATCATTTAACACTAGAAATACAGAGAAGTCGTTCTGCCTTTGGGCCCATGCTTCGGTCTTCTGGTGGGTTGACTCTGGCTTTTTTCCCAATCTGTTCTGTCCTTGAAAGGTTGGTTTATAAATTGTTCCACAAGATAAGTTTTCTTTAACTATAGGAACAAATGGACATGGTGGATGGAACGAGATTGGGAAAGAGAGGCCTGAAATATGCCCTTCCTATGCTAATGTTGCCATTTACCTGGGCAAAGAAACTGCTTACTTAATCTATAAAGTAAGCTAAATAAATTAATTAATAAATAAGATGAAAATCACTCAAAATCATTGGTGGGTGTAGAACTTTTTTTTTCAATTCATGAAAAATTCAATAAACTGAAATGTGGATCTTGAAAGAAATATAACTATCATATTCTTATGGCACACTTAGTTATTTTTCTTTTGTCAAATATAATATTATTGAATAACTTAGGTAACTAGGGCAGTGATTCTCAAACTAGGCTCAAAATAAGAAAATGTCCCCCATCCCACCCCTAGAGATGATTATTCAAAAGATTTGGGTACAGCCTGGCAGCCTTCCTTTTTATCTTTTTAAAACAAGGGTCTTGCTCTGTCACCCAGGCAGGAATGCAATGGTGTGATCATAGCTCACTGCAGCCTTGACCTCATGGGTTCAAGTGATCCTCCCACCTCAGCCTTCTAAGTAGCTGGGACTACAGGTGTGTGCTGCCACACCTAGCTATTTTTTTTTAATATTTTTTTTGTAGAGATGAGGTTTTACTGTGTTGCCCAGGCTGATCTTGAATTTCTGGGCTCAAGTGATCTTTCCACCTTAACCATTCCGAGTACTGGGACCATAGGCGTGAACCACCGCGCCCAGCAGCCTTCCTTTTAGCGATCTTCTCAGGAGATTCTGATGTACGTGCTCAGTAAACCACCCTTTTGAGAAGAATCTACTTAAG